TATGAAAACGGGGGGGGGGGGGGTGGGGAGAGGAAAAGAAAATGATTGCCAATCTATATTTGCCGGTATTGGGGAGATACTAAATTGTTGATTTTCTGTATTTATCTATCCGCCTGTCTATTTATCCATCTGTCCATACATCCACCTGTTCTTCTACCCACCATTCCATCCATCCAACTAGCCATCTAACAGTTACTGAACATCTATTCTGAAAAGAACAGTGAGAACACAAGTTTATTTTTTCATTCAACAAGTATTTAATTAGAATTTACTATTGCTAGATATTGATCAAGGCCTTGTAGACAGATGAGAAAATGAGTTGAAATCAAAGGAACCAGACAAAATCATTACCTGCTCATACTCCAGTGAAGAAAGATGGAAAATAAAAGAGGTACCTAAATAAACAAACAAATGGTGTAATTTAAGTGAATACTATAAAGGAAATAAAACACCATTATAGAATAAGATTTTCTGAGGTACCAGGTTAGTGTGACTGTTGTATGTGTATGTAGGATTATTAGAGAAGGGTTCTTTAAGAAAGTGGCATTCAAATAGAGGCTTGAATGGCAAGTACACAGCTATGTGAAAAACTTGGGTGGCAGGAGTAGTTTCTCTTAAGAGGAAACACAGTAAAAGCTCTGGAAAAGAAAGGAGATTGGTATGGTGTAGGGACAACAAAAAGACCAGTGTGGTTGGAACAGCTAATGATAGAGGGAATGGGAGAAGGGAAGATGGAGAAGTAAGAGGAAGCAGGATCATGTGGGCTACCATGGGGATTTTGAATTTAAGTAAAAATAAACTGTTAAGCTCTTGCTTGATTTTAAGCAAGGGAAGAGTATGATCTGAATGCATTTTCCACAGATGTAGCAATGTAGAGAATGAACTCTAGAGGAGAAAGAGGGAAAGTGAAGAAACCATTAGGGTGGCCTTGCAATGGTCCTGGTGAGAACTGCCAATAATATTAGCTAGGTTGGTAGCACTGGGGGTGGTGAGAAAAGGTCCTATTCAGAATGTATCTTGAAGCAGAATCAATAGAAATTGCTGATGATGATCTAGATGTGGAGTATTCGGATAGTGTGTGTGCGCTCAGTTGTGACTTATTCATGGCCCCATGGACTGGAGCCCACCAGGCTCCTCTGTCCATGGGATTTTCCAGGCAAGAATACTGGAGTGGGTTGCCATTTCCTCCTCCAGGGGATCTTCCTGACCCAGGGATTGAACCTGTGTCTCTTATATGTCCTGCATTGGCAGGTGAGTTCTTTACCACTGAGTCACCTGGGAAGCCCCATGGAAGGTTAGGAAAAGCAAAGAATAAAGGACAGTTCCTATAATTATAGTCTTAGCAATTGGGTGAATAGTGGTATCATTAAATGGGATGGGGCAGATTGTAAAGAAATGAGTGTGTAGTGAGAATGGGCGAGTTCTCTTTTGGTCTTAGTAAGTTCACAAACATTAGGCATGCTAATGAAGGCGTTGAATAGGCAGGTGGAAACACAAACCTGAAAAAGGAGAGATCTGAACTAGCGTAGTCAGCATATAGAATTTACATAGTCATTACTGTGTTTCCCCAGAGAAAGCATAGAGTGAGAAAGCAGCCAATCACCTTATATTTCAAAGCTGTGAACAAATGATGGACCCAGCAAAAGAAATTCAAAAGAGTAGCTGAGTAGGTAAGAGCAGAACCACCTGAATATGTTCTTACAGAGACAAGTGAAGAAGGGAGGTGCGCACAATGAAGTGTCAAACAATGCTTAGAAGTTAGTCATGGCAGACAGGTAATACCCAGTGGACTGGGCAGAATGGGATTTGTTGGTGAGCTTGACAACAGTCGTTTCATTGTGGGTAGTGGAGACAAAATCCTGATAAAAGAAGGCTAAAGAGAGGAGGCGGGGGTGAAGAATTGGAGACAAATAGTAGAGTTTGCACTTTTAGTAAGTTTATCAAAAAGGGGGAAAAATGGGGTAGTAGTTGTAGGGGAACATGGAGTTAAGGGAGATACACATTTAATCAAGATGGGAGAAATTATAGTATGTGCCTGTGTGTGCTAAGTCACTTCAGTCATGACCGACTCTTTGCAACCCTATGGACTGTAGCCCACCAGGCTCCTCAGTCCATGGATTCTCCAGGCAAGAATACTGGAGAGGGTTGCCATGTCCTCCAACAGGGGATCTTCTCGACCCAGGGATCGAGCCTGAGTCTTTCATGTCTCCTGTGTTGGAGGTGTTTTTTGTTTTGTTTTGTTTTTTTTTACCACTAATGCCACCTGGGAAGCCCAAATTATAGTATATTTGTATGTTAATTGGAATAATCCAAGAAAAGGGAGAAATGCTTGGTGTAAGAGTCAGGTGAGATCATTTAAAATGCAAAATTATTGAGTTGATAACAGGGGGTGGAGTCTAGAACATAAGCCGTGAGGTTGACTTAGGTAGAAGCAGGAACTATTTGTATATGTTAATAGGCAGGAAGGCAATGTACACAGGAGCAGAAACAGGCAAGCTCACATTTAGTTGATGAGAAGAATTAGTTCTGATCTGATCTGCTGGGACTCAGTGCTTTGTAGGGAAGTTCAAAAAAGTTTCCAGGGAGATGGAGAGTATGAAGGGGTTACGGATGAAATGATACAGAAATCAGAAGAAACAGACAGATGCTGCTTCCATGATGGGATTTAGAAAATACATTTTTTATTGGAGGATAATTGCTTTACAATATTGTGCTGGTTTCTGCCATACATACATTTTTAAAATTTCTTAAGTTTAAAAAATTTCACTTAAATTCAAAGTTCTTTGAATTGAGCATATCTGTAGTAGTAGTTACTGAATTTTTTCCTCTGCCTTCCCAACATACACACATACATGTGTACACATCCCCACAACCACACTCAACTTGCCCTTCTGCCCCCAAAGTGGGCATTTAACACTGTCTGGGCCAATTATAATACCCCATACTCCAGATCTCTGGGACTGGACCAGGAATGAGCATATCACCTAAGCCAAACCAATTAGTACCTTTCCCTGTGGTTATTTCAAAAAGAAACTGGAGGCGAGGATCTGTCTTTCTCTCTTTACCCAAGAATGCAACTTTGAGGCAACCTCTGGTTGTGCTCTCTACCGCAGAGAAGCCCATCTTAGTGGATGTGAATGAGGCCAGCACACTGATAGAATGTGTATGCCTTGTGTGCCCCCACTCAGGAAAGGTTCTCATGTCAGAGTCTTTATGGCAGAGCCGCCAAGGAAGTCATATTTCCCTGTGCTGTATAATAATATATCCTTATTGCTTACTTATTGTACACATAGCAGCTTGTGTCTCTTAATCCCCTATCCTTCTTTCCTCTGCCTTTTCCCTCTTCCCTTCTCCCCGCTGGTATCCACTAATTTGTTCTCTGTATCTGTGAGTCCGTTTCTGTTTTGTTATACTCATTTGTTTGGCTCTTAAGTTTTCATGTGTAAGTGATGACACAGGGTATTTGTCTTTGTCTGACTTATTTCACTCCTGCTGGTTTGTTCAGTATTGTGACTGGTTAAGCCTCCCCATGCAGCCCCCCTCATCCTTTATAGCAAAGTATGCTTTCTCAGGGAATTTGGCTTCAGGATGGCAGAGCTGAATATAGAACCTGCCAAGCGGAGATTCAACCTTGTTTACATTCTTGCTGTCGGCTCATGAAGAAGCGGGTGTGTACTCCAGCCATTATCTGAACCAAAAATAACACAAGAAAATGATTAATTTCAGCTAAAAATAGGCAGGCGCTCACTCTGTGAGCCATGATAATCAGGTTCTGCATTGATTGTACCGCAGCTCTGGGGTGGAAACTGCAAACCAAAGTGAGGAGCTAATTCAAGTCCATAGCCATCATCTGCTTTTTCTTTTCTTTCTCCTCTTTCCTCTCCTGTCTCTTTCTACCTTGTTCTTATTTTTCTTCTTCTTTCCGCTTCCATCTCTTCCTTTTCTGCACACTTCTTTCCTCTCCCACTTTCTCCCTTATCCTCCTTCCTGAGATGCTACTCTCTGACCCCCACCCATCACAGCCACCAGTGGCAGCACTCTTCAGTCTACAGGGATCCATTCAATCGTTCAGAGCAGTTTCCAACAGCAGGATCTGTGTCTACTCTGTGGCACATGATGTGATGTTACATGGAATACGGATGGTGTGTAAGTGGTGACATCCATTCTTACTGTGAGGAGTCCATTATTTAAATGTTTTAATTTTTTAAGAGAAAGAACAGTAAACTTAACCTATTATTTCATGGATGTTAATGTTTAAGATGGGATCAAAGTTAGGTATTTAAGCCAAAACCAGAGTATCTCAGTTTAAAGAGAGAGTGTTATATATGTGTGTGTGTGTGTGTGTATGTGTGTGTGTTTTATGTACTGTGTTCAGTTGGTTATCCAATTTTTTGCAACCCCATGGACTGTAACCTGCCAGGCTCCTCACTCCATGGGATTCTCCAGGCAAGAATACTGGGGCTGGTTGCCATTTCCTCTTCCAGGGGGTCTTCCTGACTCAGTGATCAAACTCCTGTCTCTTGTATCTCTTCAACTGGCAAGCAGATTTTTTTTTTCTTCACCACATTGTTTATCACTGTGCTACCTGGAAGCCAGATAAACTCACACTCACACACACACACACAAACCAAATCACTTCGCTGTACACCTGAAATTGACACAATATTTTAATTCAAATATCCTTTCATTTTTTAGAAAAAGAGAAAGTTAAGTAAGTCAAGTAAATACCGCCTTATATTAGGATGAACTACATGAAACTTGAAAGTTGGCCTTTTTTGACTTACAAAAATGTCAATTTCATATGATTTCACCAAATAGAATAAAACGCACGTTCCTCAGCATCTGGCAAAGTCCCCTTCTGTCTGGCCTTGATTTATCTTTCAATTTTGAGTTTCCAGTTTTACCCTGGATGAACCCTCTGTTTTAATTAGGTCAGCAAATATTTACCAAGGGCCAACTGCAAACTCGGCACTGAGCTAGGTCTTAGCACTGCAGGGATGATGTGAAATCAAAAATTTCCATTCTGAAGGAGCTGGCCCATGGGCAGCAGGAGACAAATACATGGTTTCAGGAAAAATGTAAGTATTAAGATGTAGATTTCAACTGGGACTGCCCATTTTGAGCTATTTGGGAAAATGCATGGAGATTTCTGGTTGTCACAATGATTGGGAATATATTTAGATATTTAGGGAGTGGGAATCAGACATGCTAATTTTCCTGCCATGCATATGGTGGTCCTACCGGATTGCTCAATGATGAACTGACTCATACCAAATATCAATAGCTACCCCATAGGAGACACTGATGGGAGGTACTGGGGGCCACAAAGGAACAAGGAGAAAGGGCACCATATCATATCGGAAAGTTCAGACAAGTGCTTATGGAGGAAGTGGCTATGTGCTAAGTCTGGAAGGAGGAAGACCTGCTTTGTGAACCCAAGTGAAAAAGGCTTTCTAGGCAGAAGAAAAACGCAAATTATCTTGGGAGGTTAAGTCAGCTTAGCACCTGTTGTTTCCTCACCTGGCTTCTACTGTATCCTGGGTTTAGACACATCCATTCTCTGGGAGATTTTACCTCAGTCTTCCAGAAGTTGTTCCCATCTTTCAATAAGTGCCTCATATCCTACTTTTGGGCTTCCCATGTGTCGCTAGAGGTAAAGAACCTGCCTGCCAATGCAGGAGATGTAAGAGACTCAGGTTCGATCCCTGGGTTGGGAAGATTCCCTGGAGGAGGACATGGCAACCCATTCCAGTATTCTTGCCTGGAGAATCCTCACTGACCGAGGAGCCTGGTGGGCTACAGTCCACGGGGTCACAAAGAGTCGGACACGACTGAAGGGAGTTAACACACACACACATGCATCCTACTTTCTTTATAGAGTCCCCTAACTGACTCAATTGAAGGCACTTTCTAGGCCTTTACGACCCTAACAATGCTTCTTGCCTTTGCCCCCTTTCTTCCTTCCTTTCCTCAGTTATGATCTTTTTGAAAGAAAGAGATGTTTCATGCTCCTTTTTTTTTGAACTTGGCAAGCGACAACTAATAAAAATTAAATTTGTCTTCTAAGACATTGGCAAATGCATTCTCTTTCTTTTTAAAGATAAAAACATATTTATCAAATCTGCTCCGCAGAATGGCTCAATGAAACCGTTTTGCAGGTAGCTTCCCTGGTGGCTCAGAGGTTAAAGCGTCTGCCTCCAATGCGGGAGACTTGAGTTTGATCCCCGGGTTGGGAAGATCCCCTGCAGAAGGAAATGACAACCCACTCCAGTATTCTTGCCTGGAAAATCCCGTGGACGGAGGAACCTGCTAAGCTACAGTCCACAGGGTCGCAAAGAGTCGGACACGACTGAGCGACTTCACTTTCACTTTAATCCTATTGTGTAGGTCAGTAATTCTCAACTGGGGACACTTTTTTGCCTCCCAGGGAACGTTTAAAAGCATCTGGGAACATGGGTGCTCATCTTCATTGGGGAAGGGTGCAACTGGCTTCTAGTGTGCTGAAACCAGGAATGCTACCATGTACCTTACAATGCCCAGGACAGCTTCCCACTAAGAGAATTCCTTGGTCTGAAACACCAGTGGTGCTGAGGCTGAGGAACTCTGGGTGTTGATTAAGAATTGTAACTAACTTCCTAAAGGCTGTGCAGGGGGTTGGTGACAGATCCACCAGACATTAGGACATCAGGACCATGAGGGACTGGAGGAAGACGAACCGTGGAGCCCGGCGACCAAGCTCAGAGTTCAACTGACTTACTAGAAGGTCCCAGACTCACGTCTCACATCCCTACCTTGTCTCCCTTTGCCTCCCTCTTGCCTCAGTTGAATCTCTCGTTGCCCTGCTGTTTTGTCTGTGACTTAGGGCATATCATCTTTCACCTTTTAAGTCTCAGTGTCTTTACTCATAAACCTAATAAAATCTCCATCATGGAATCATTAAGAGATTAAATGTGATAGTATACTTTGAAATGTGCAGGCAATATTTATTGTGAACCTACTGTGTGCTGGGTACAATTCTGGGCACTTTATAGGTATTAAGTCACTTACTCCTCCCAGTAGCCTGTGGAGTGGGAACTATTATTAGCTCCATTTTACAGATCAGGTAACCAAGACTCAGACAGGTTAGGTACCTTATTGTAGCATCACAGGTTGTCAAGTGATATCGCCCAGAATCTTGTGCTGAGCCTCTGCACACACCACACACTTCATATTTGTGACTTCATCCCTCTGCTCTCTGCTATGAAACACTTGCATCCTGCTGGGTGAGGAAGGGACCCAGCTCAAAGCCCACATTTCTGCTCTGTTGTGGCCCAGTTGCTAAGTCGTGTCCGACTCTTGGCGACCATCGAGTGCAGCATGCCAGGCCTCCCTGTCTTTCACTTTCTCCCTGAATTTGCTCAAACTCACATCCGTTGAGTTGGTGATGCCATCCAACCATCTCATCCTCTGTCGCCCCCTTCTCCTCCTGCCCTCAGTCTTTCTCAGCATCAGGGTCTTTTCCAATGAGTCCACCCTACCGTAAGCCTAAACTGGGTCTCTTATTGCTAGGTTATTTCTACTTGTTCCCTACCTCAGTAAGACCCAAGCTGAAGCCAGGTCTAGCAATCCAAAAGACCATCAAGGAAAAGTCGCCTGCTCAGCAGATCCACTCAGCTGGGGTGGTTTTAGGGTATATTTTAGGCTTCTAGCCAGGGCTGCCGTAACAAAGTTCCACAAACTGGGTGGCTGACAACAACAGAAATTTTGTGTCAGAGTTGTGGAGGCTAAAAGTCCAAAATCAAGGCATAAGCAGTGCCACCGTCCTGCTGAAAGCTGTAGGGGAATCCTTCCTCAATTCTTCCTGGCTGCTTCTGGTGACTGCCGGCAGCATGGGCATCCCCTGGCTGACATCCCCATCACTCCAGCTCTGCGTCTGTCGTCAGATGGCATTCCGTGTGTGGGGGGGCTTGCCTCTTTTTGTAAGGATGTCATTCACATTGGATTAAGGCCCAGTCCACTCTGGTATGGCCTCGCCTCATGTTGGCAAGTTACATTTGCAATGATCCTGATTCCACATAAGGTCACCTTCTGAGGTACTAGGACTTACGACTGCGGCATATCCTTTGCTTTCAGCGGGGGACACAATTCAACCCGTATCATAGGACAAACTTTTTCTGTCTTTGTCAACCCAGAGGATGGACTCTGCTCGTGGCCTGGCCACCTCTGAGCTTCCCCCTGCCTTCCCCAGCCTCTCTGAGGCAGATAGTACATTTTCAGCTTCTTAATCTTCAAGGAAATGAGGTATCAAGTATCCTTGTCAGAATCCCTGCTATTTCGTATGTTAGTTGATCCAAATAAATGAGCTCTTGAATAAATACCATCTGGCCCTGCTGCGTCACTTTCTCAAGTGGCCCCCGTCACTGCCTCCCATCAGGGGCGTCCGTCTCTATGGATACCACGGTTACAGGGGCTCGTGGGTAGAACCCAGTCTGCTCCCCACTCAGGTCCTGTTCCGTGTCTCACAGGCTTGAGAGGTGCCCCCAGAGTTATTCTCCAGCCTTTCTCAAATAAAATGTTGTTGCTTAGTGTCTCTAAAAATAATGTCACAAAGACCAGTCCTCACTCTTCTTTCACCTTGTCTTCTTTTATAAAAATGTGGGCTTAATAGTAAAACAAAGGGTTTATTACGATGACTTTCATGGCAATTAAAACAGAAAAGTACTTGCTCATGTTCTCCCCAGGCCTAACCAAGAACTGTTAGAAATTTCATTTCCCAATTTTAGTTAAAGGCATACACATTTTTACATTAACTGCAATGTATATAAAATGTTCTATTTTTTCTACTTTAATATAATTTTTAAAAGGAAAATTTTACATTGCAACATGGTCATTCAAATGACTGCAAGGTATTTCCATAGGGTTAGTTTACCATAATTTAATTAATCAAAACATTTTATCAGGCATATAAAGCTTGGGAATGGATTTTTTTCTTTTTATTAAATAGAAAACTGTAAATATGCTACAATAACTTTCCTTGTACAGGTTTTTTTTTTTCTTCTTTTGAATATGTGCCTCAGTGTGAGTTGCCAGGAGAATTCCTTGATGAAAAGGTATAACTATGTTGACTCAATTTATTTTACTGATTTGATCTCTAAAATGATATTTTTTAAAGTATATTTGTGTTCCTTTTCTCCTGTAGTCTTACAGGCACTGGGCTTTATACTTTTATAATCTTCTCTAAAGTTATTTTAGCGGATATAGAATTACACTTTGATATAGTCTTAATTTGCATGCCTTTGGTTAGCAGTGAGAACTCTTTAAAACACAGTCTTTCTGTCTTACTCCAGATGCATATAAAAGCCATTGGCTGATGTTTCAGGCCATATGATCACTAGTGATGAACGCTTCCTAGTGATCCAATCCTGCAACAAAGATAGCAGTCCTCCTTCTCCTCTTACTTCTGCCCGCCTAGAGAGCTGTTTGGGACTCTAGTAAGCTGTGGGGTGGGGGCGTTGTCCATGCACTCTGCTCTGCGGCTCCTGTAACCTGGCTTTTCATGGCTTAAAGTGAAAGGAAAAGAGCAATGCGTATCATCTAGCACATGCTACCTTTGGGGGCCATGATGTTCCTTCTGCTGCTCTGACTATAAACTGCTTTTAGAAAAGCAGATAGGCATTTGGGTGGTTTGAATCAGGAGCCTAACCCTATAGTATTAAATGTCCCCAAGTCACAAACCAAAATACACTAGCATCCATGACCAAACTGTATGTCCCAGTTAACTGTATTCTAAAAACAAACCCATAGTAAAGTTTTGCTGGGAAGGAGAAGTGGGATAGAGAGAGAAAGGAGGATGTGAAGGAAGGATGAAGGCATACATCAGACACTTGGGAATACCAGGGTCAACAGATGTTTCTCCAAAGGGCCAGACTAAATATTTTAAGCTTGTGGCCAACTGATCTGTCACAGCTTACTCGACTCTGTCATTGTGGCACCAACACTGCCACCAGCAATTCTTAAATGAGGATGTGTCTTGTTCTGACCTTATTTATGGAGACTGAGATTTGTATTTCATCTGATTTCCTTGTGTAACAGAATACTATTTTTCCTTTGATTTTTTTTTGTTAATTTTCACCACCTGCAAATGCAAAAATCACTTGGCTCAGACATCATACAAAAGCAGGCAGTGGGCTGGATTGGGCCCTTGGGGTGGAGTTGGCTGACTCCTGGGCTATAGCATCAGAAAAGAGAGGATGGTGGGGTGAAGTGGTTTTCACACTTCTTTAGCAGGAGATGTATTTTGAAATGGAACACATCATCAATGAAGGTATCCTGTTCTGGTAAAGAAAAGGAGAGCCAGAAGGCTGCTTCTCAGCCTCTTCCTTCCTCTTTCTTTGCTCCTTCCCACACTAAGGCAACCTCTGGTTATGGAAATCAGGTTGCCTTAGAAATCCAGAGGCTAGATTTTAGTCAGTCTTCTACTCTGAGCACCATGCAAGTGATGGGTGCTCATTAAGTCGATTAACTCAATTAGTGGATGGAGGACTTGTTTCTGAGCTCACCGCTTTCAGTTTCCTCTTAAAAAAAAATCAGTGTTGAAGTGGGAAGGATGGAATGATCTTCGAGGTCTCTTCCAGCTTTGTTTGATTCTAGGTTGTGTGCTCTCTGATATTGGAAACGTCCTTGCTCATTGAATTTGATGAATATAAAGCATGAATTTAGCTTCATTCAATCAATGTACATTTTTTTTTTCTCAAATCCTCACTGCTTGGTTGACTAGAAAGAATTGGAAAGTTATATAAGAAGAAATGATGGATGTGGTAATGGGAATGTTTTGATACTGAATTATCTAAACTTTCTTTCCTGTCCCACTAATTAAAAAAACACTGAATGTTTTTCAACAGGAAGACCAGTTCTTTGAAATTAGGAATGATGCGCTTTCTTTGCTGCCAAAAGGACCCTAAGCACATCAGGTATTTCTAAAAATGTTACTGACGTTGATATTAATAGTGATGGCTACCCTTCTGACTCCTTGCTGGTTCTACTACAACCTTACTAGCTTACTCTCTTTTCTTCAAATGCACCAAGCTCATTTCTGCCTGAGGGTCTTTTCTTTTCCTCTGTCTGGAAAAGCAGACCCCTATGTCTTTACACAGCTGACTGTTTTCTTCACCTAGGTCTCAGTTTTCACAGCAACTCTTCAGGAAGATCTCCTCTAGACCCTTAAATAAACAGGATTGCCTCCTCCCCTATCACTGCCCTTGTGCTGTTGCCAGCATTCAATGAGCACCACTCTAGTCATCACACCCTTGTTGTAGTCCTACTATGTGTTGAGCTAGTTGAGCTAGAGTTGGTCTGTGTGACCAATTGCATATGGCAAATTTAATGCTATGTCACTTCTAGGGTTAGGCTGTAAATGACCATGCCTTCCACCTTGGATATTGCTCTCTTTTGGATCATTTTTTCTAGGGGAAGCCAGCTGTCATGTTTTGGGGACATTAATGCATCCAATGGAATGGTTCTATATGGAGAGGAGAGCAACTGAAGAGTCTAGCAGCAACCAGTGAGGAAGCAAGATCTGCCGCCAAACACATGTGTGAACTTGGAACAGGATCCTCTCCCAGTTGAGTCTTCTGATGAAGTTCTGGCCCCAGCTGTCTGAAACTGTATGAGACTGTGAGCCAGAACCATCTAGCTAAGCTCTTTCCAGATTCCTGACCTGCAGAAGCTATGAGCTAACATCTGTTGTCTTAAGTAATTTTGGGGGTAATTTGTTACAAAACAATAGATAACTACCATATTGTGATTTACTTTCTTTATAATGCTTTTCATTATCTGATATTGCCTTATTGACTGAGTCAGGGAGATGGTATTATAAATGACTAATTTACAACATGTGCTATAAGTTCAAAGAGAGGCTTATGCTTGAGGTAAGTGTAGGCCAGTTGTTCTCACAGTGTGATCCTTGGGCCAGTAGCATGAGCATCATTGGGAGCATGAAGGAGGGTGGCTACACTGGCCTCAGTCAGTTCAGTTCAGTTGCTCAGTCATGCCCGATTCTTTGCAACCCCATGAATCATGGCATGCCAGGCCTCCTTGTCCATCACCAACTCCCGGAGCTTGCTCAGGCTCATGTCCATTGAATCGGTGATGCCATCCAGCCATCTCATCCTCTGTCATCCCCTTCTCCTCCTGTCCCCAATCCTTCCCAGCATCAGGGTCTTTTCCAATGAGGCAACTCTTCACAAGAGGTGGCCAAAGTATTGGAGCTTCAGCTTCAGCATCAGCCCTTCCAATGAACACCCAGGACTGATCTCCTTTAGGATGGACTGGTTGGATCTCCTTGCAGTCCAAGGGACTCTCAAGAGTCTTCTCCAACACCACAGTTCAAAAGCATCAATTTTTCGGCGCTCAGCTTTCTTCACAGTCCAACTCTCACATCCATACATGACCACTGGAAAAACCATAGCCTTGACTAGATGGACCTTTGTTGGCAAAGTAATGTCTCTGCTTTTTACTATGCTATCTAGGTTGGTCATAACTTCCCTTCCAAGGAGTAAATGTCTTTTAATTTCATGGCTGCAATCACCATCTACAGTAGTTTTGTAGCCCAAAAAATAAAGTCTGACACTGTTTCCACTGTTTCCCCATATATTTGCCATGATGTGACGGGACCAGATGTCATGATTATAGTTTTCTGACTGTTGAGCTTTAAGCCAACTTTTTCACTCTCTTCTTTCCCTTTCATCAAGAGGCTTTTTAGTTCCTCTTCACTTTCTGCCATAAGGGTGGTGTCATCTGCATATCTGAGGTTATTGATATTTCTCCTGGCAATCTTGACTCCAGCTTGGGCTTCTTCCAGGCCAGCGTTTCTCATGATGTACTCTGTATAGAAGTTAAATAAGCAGGGTGACAAAATACAGCCTTGATGTACTCCTTGTCCTATTTGGAACCAGTCTGTTGTTCCATGTCCAGTTTTAACTGTTAATTCCTGAACTGCATACAGGTTTCTCAAGAGGCAGGTCAGGTGGTCTGGTATTCCCATCTCTTGAAGAATTTTCCACAGTTTATTGTGACCGACACTGGCCTCAAACCCAGCATAAAGAGCAAGGACACCAGGAAGACATCCTGGAGGAGGGGGCACCAGAAACAATATGTAAAGATGATATAAGCTCCCAAAATGAGTGCAATAGCAATGGAATCATAAAAGTAAAAGGTAGAGATTTATTTTTTAATTTTATAAAAATGACTCTATTCCCCAGTATGGTGGGGAGTCTTCTTAGCAGAGTTGACACCTGTGTAGGACTTTTCCAAAAGAACGAAGGGCAAAGAGAGTCCCAGGCAAAGGTACCTACATGAGAAAAGGCCCAGAGGTAAGGGGCCCACTGTGATTACAACAAAGGGTCATGAACTGCACGTCCTGGCAAGTGATGAAGCTGAAAATGTAGGTTGGAACCCAATCGCTGCTCCAAGCTGAGCGAAGGATCCAGGAGTGGACAAAGGGAGATGAACACAGAATTCCCTGAATGTTAACATTCTGAGGCCAGATGGTGGGATTGCGTGCGTCTCTGACAAGGCAGGGCTGCTGCAACAGGAGGCTGTCGAGGTGAGAGGAAGGAAAGGTGACTCTTCTCTTCTCCTCCAGTGATTGCACTGCCTCGGGCGCTAGCTGCCTCTCTCTGTCGCAGAGATGACAGGCTCCTCCAACTCTCCAGGCAGGAGCTGCTGGCAGATTTGATCACAAAGGGTGAGTTGTTTTGGGGACCAAACAAGACAAAGACACTCCTTTCACTGTGCCCAGGAGGTAACTCTTGCTTCTCCACTAAGACTGCCTTTGCCCTTCTGTCTCTCCCAGGTACTCCTTCCCCAAAAGGAAACGCTACCTGCCCCCCACCCCACCCCCCCGTCCTCATCTTTAACTAGAATGGGAGCAAGCGCATTTGCACGTAGCTTTCCTTTTAGGTTAGAAGACTAGAATGGACTGCTCACAGCATAATTTATGTGGCATGTCCTTCTGTGAAGTCGCAGGGACCTTGCTATGCCCAGAACAAAGAGGTTTGAATAATCAGTCACTGTATTTGCAGCCTGAAGTGCTGGGATGGCCTCAAGCTGGTTTGCTCCAGAGAGATTTGTCCTTCACACATAGGTCCACACAGCTGTGTTCCTAGGGAGGTCCATTGACCTCTCAAGGTCACTATTCCTTTCTGTAGACACTTCCTGTTCCAGGAGTTAAGCCACAGGTTTCCTCTAAATGCTAACTGAAAGAATAACAGACCAAGTAACAATAAATGAATGGATGAATGAAGAAATGTTGTGGTGAAAAGAATCTGGACTTTGGATACATAGTTCCCATGCTAATATCAAGGGAAATTCAATATTATAAAAATTACTCACTTGAACCCATGTACTTTTCAGAACATTATGCCATTGTGAGATATAGCTGCTGCAGTTGATAAAGAATAGTATTATTTTCAGATCCTTCTCCATCACTCTCTGGTTTTGAGGGAAGCCAGAGACACTGTGTGGTTCTAATGTCCACATAGCAAATATGCAACAGATAAATCCATCCATCCATCCATCCATCCATCTAACAAACATTAGTGTCCAACAAAAATCATGTGTTTTAAATACTCAGCTTTCTAAGACAAAGAAAACAAAACTCCTCTACCCCAAAAGCTCCAAGTCTCAAAGGGACAGTCACATGTGAACTACTCGTAACAGGGCATGATAAATGCTTTGCTTGAAGGATGAGCAAAATGCTGCATGTGCAGAGCAAGAGAACAGTGCAGTAAAGCAATGTGATTCTCAGGAGAAGAAAACCTGTCTTCACAGGTGTCGATGCCACTTTCTGGAGCTTTGTCAAATCCCTCCAGTCTGTGGCTGACTTTCACAAGAGGAGAGCGATAGCCTTCCCCTGTCTCACTTGCTTTGTCTTATCTCTGCACAGCCCAACGATCTATGCAGAGTAGCATAAAGGATGCATTCTGAAAAAAAGGAATAAGCAGTCAGCAAGCAAGAAATCTGTACCTTAGACAGATCGCTGCCTAGCTCATGTAATAAATATGTTCTGGGTGGGCACCTGGATGTACCTGGGTGTGTACAATAAAATGTAAGAGGGGTGAGGGCCCTTCTTTGTTGGTGTGCCCACTCATGGTATGATTTTAGAGGATGAGAAAGGCTGACCCATCTGATTTGACTATTGACTCTATACCTTTCCCTTAATGCTTTGATAGAGTCACAGGTCTGCCTTTAAGTTGCTAGCAGTCATTTCTTCCTCACTGTGGCTAAAGGGACTGTTCCAAGGTGAGTCTGGAAGGAAAAGATATTTTTATTCCACAAAACAGGGCTTCCCTGGTGGTTCAGTGCTAAAGAACTTGCCTGCCAATGCAGGAGACACAGATTTGATCCCTGGGTCAGGAAGATCCTCTGGAGAAGGAAATGGCAACCCACTCCAGTATTCTTACCCCAGAAATCTGATGGACAGAGGAGATTGGCGGGTTACAGTCCATGGGGTCACAAAAGAGTCAGACACGACTTAGCAACTAAACAACAATATTTATGTAGAGCCTTCTACATGATGAATCTTTGCTAGTATTTGGAGATATTGAGCGAAGATACAGGTGTGTTCTCAGGAATTCTCGGACTGGTAAGGACAAGCAGGAAGCAGTGACACTGCAGGATGGCAAAGGGCAAGCTACAGGCTACACAGCATCCATGGTGGGGCTGACCTAGTGTAAAAAATGGAGTGATCCAGATGTCTGCATGTGTTGGCATCACTCTAGAATTTTGCTGAGGTTGCGCCTAAACTGGAAGTCCAAGCTAACCTCAGTATTTAGTATGTTACTGTCATTTTTCTAGAGAAGTGATTTCATTACTTTTATTACATGTTTTAGTCAGGGAAGTGCATTTCTCAACAATAATCCTGAAAAAGACGTCATGATGATAGAAACAACTGATGATTCATTTGTTGGAAGTTTCAACTAATGAGGTTAAGATTCAGCAGATGTCAGACATCAACATCGAAGAATTTCAAAAGAAATAGCTGAGAATCACTTTTATTAATTTTAAAAACCTTCTCTCTCCAGTGGAACTGAAAATGACTGGGAGCAAATGGAGAGAGAGAATTATGTGAGGATAATTTCAGAGAGCTGTTGAAAGCCTGCGAGTTCCTCTCTAAGGAGTGGTTTTGGGGAAATCTGCCCTTCGGTGCAAGCCTAGTGAGAGGAGGCTTCCTTGGGACCACTCAGAAAGCTTGATGTGTGTCCCTGGGAGCTGTGGCTGTGTTGTGAGTTGATGCCTGACTCCCTCCAGGGGACTCCTGAATGAAAGGGGTTGACTCCACCTTCCTGCACCCAGTCAATTCGTCAGGGTGAAAAAGATGCCTGAGTGTCCTCTGGGTCAGATATGGACACATGGGAGGGAGAGCTGGCCTCAAGCTCTTTTAACACCTACCCATGCGGCAACCGAGTGCGTGTCTGTATGTGTGGAGTAGGAACAGGTATAGAACTCTATCCAGGGGCTTGGATGAATCTGTGTCTCATGTAATTGAAGTTTCAGTAGACAGGTTCTGTTGGGGTGTTGGGCCCACTTTGGAGTTGATCTTCTGGAAAGTATAGAGTTCATAGGGTTTGTCTGTTGGACCCAGAGACAGCAAAGCTATTTTGCAGTAGTACCAGCTAAGCGAGGACTCTCTTACGCCCTTCACTTCTTGTTCTTTCCTCTTCCACCCTCATCTGAAAGGCACAGGGGATCAAAA